ATATGCTTAATGTTAATAGGCTTGATCCGTATACATTCTAATCTAGCACAAAATACTTGTTTCTTTTCCTCATTTTTTCACTAATAACATTCTCTACCTTTTTGTTAATAGCTGAAGGCTCAATCTTACCTTTTCTTAGATGTTTTTCTAATAACTCCACCTTCTCTTCTTTTTTTAAACAATCCTGCAAAATCCTTTCCCAATAGTCGGCCATACGTTTCCAACGTATGGTGGAAACTGAATTGCATCTTTTGTTGAGTAATCAGCTCTTAATGTTTTTAGAGACTTTTCGTCTAGTGGCGGATCTACTTTGATCTCCTATACCTCGGTTTACTGTACTTCACTAGCTCTGGGAACTATTTCCTCTGACTCCTCATCATCTTCTGATACAGCGAAATTTTCTACATCTGATTAGTTACCCACAAGATCAGATCGAATCTAAGTTCAATGCCTGACTTTAGCCATTAACAGATATTCTAATACGTAATGAACTATGACGCATTATAATGCCTTGTAAATTATGATTATTTAGTTTATAATGTGACTTCATCATCACCGCCTTGCGTGAATATGTCTTCATTTAATATAAACAATGAGCGACAGTTAAAACCTCTTGAATATTACTCATGAGGGTGAGTATTACGCTCTATGCCAGGCAACAGGCAATAGGAACACGAATACAGGAACACGAATACGGGAATACGAATTCGGATTGGTCAATTATTTCTATTCTCTGTTCCTATTAGCTAATACCTATTCCTATTGCCTGTCGCTTGATATTGTGCAAGGGTTGTTATCCTTGATAATATATACATATAGCAGGTAAGGTCATCGGAGGTCATCGGAGGTGAATCCTCTAAACAATATATTTACTGACTTTCTTTATATAATTTATTTGATTTAAAACGAGGAGCTAGCGATTGTTTGCTATATTTAGCTTGTGAGTATAATACTTTCGAAAATAAAAAAATATCAGTTTTTATCATATCTCGTGCTTAATTAAAAAAAAAAATCGTTAATCTTAATGGGAGAAAAATTGTTAATTTTAATGTATTTGTACAGACAAATATATTATTTAAATGGAGGAGTTTTTTTATAGAAGATAGTTATTATCGATAATATTTCTTTATATAAAAAAATTTAAATTTAAATCGGATTAGGAATTGCATGGAATATTCAATATATAGAGAAGTCGGCAAAAGTTTAAAACGACATTAATCTCTAATAGAAATGGATTAGTTTTGTTGGAAAAATAAATTCTGCAAATTATATTATATTGTTATATAATTCGTGAACATATATTATAATAAAAAGTATGTAATAATATCAACCTCATTTTATGAGTTAAGTAAGAATTTTAAGTAAGAAAAAAGAATAATTTTGTATTATTAAATGACTAGATAATAATTTAAGACTATATTGCAAAAAATATTATGTAAAAATTACAGAATAAACTGATATATAGAAACTAATAGTTTGTTGGATAACTCTTATGTTTTAATATTTCAGCATGTCTTTTTATTTCAGCACATCGATCTATCAACTTCGGTCTAACAAGATCTTTTCAGAACGGGGTTTTTAAAAGAAAAATTTTCATTCAAAATAATGATTTTATTGTACTAAAAATTTGTTTTTATATCATAAAACAAATCAAGTATCATAATATATACTCAAAACAATCAATATTATAGAACCCAACGTTATATTTTTGCATTCAAATCTAAATCTGTTGTTTACTATTTTTTAGTGTTACAAACAATTCATTTTCTTCTATCTATTGGGTGATTTTCATTTTTTTCAACATATGGAGAAAAAAGTGTTTAGCTATTCAATTAGATGATCGAAGTCTACTAGTTACATATTTTTGCTTTGAACTATGTTTTTCAACGATACTTTTAATTAGTTATCGTTTAAAGTCAGAAAACGATGGATTTAGAGGATTTTTCATTTTGAATAGAACATAAGTTTTGAAAAGATCAAGTAAAAAGCAATAAAATAAGTTATAAATAATGACTGTAAAATAAACGAACGTAATCCTAAAATTGAAAAATCACAAGTATCATAATATATATCAAAACAACAGTCTCAAATTCTGGTTAAAATAATACTTTAATTACCAAAAAATGTTAATCCGTTCTCGAGATATTCGGATTACTTTAAATATAGCACTAAATATAATACTAATAAATATTACTCTAAATATTGTACTAAATATAGTACGAGTTACTAAATATAGCTAATGTATTGGTTCATCGTAATAATGTTCCATATTGTTTCTATTGCAGAATACAAATCATTGAGATTTTGTTATTTTGACTGCTCTACATTGCGTTTTATAATATTCCACAAATTTTCAATTGAATTAAAATTAGATGATTGAGGTAGTAACAGGTAGTGTGACCTTTCCTCACGTTAAAATGTGCTATGATTCTTGCTGTATGCTTTAGGACATTGTCCTATTGGAAAATGAAGTGATCTTCGCAATTATGCTGCATAAAGCAGCATTGTGTTTTTAAATATATCTTTGTATTGAAATTGATTCATAATTTCATCGATTTATTATATTGGTCTTAATCTACTTCGAGAAGAAGATGTTCATACCATAACGTTTCTATTGCCATGCTTGACTATGCTTAAAGTGCACCTTAAATTTATATTCCCACTTTTATACGACGTCTAACATATTGTATGCTATCGGATGATAAACGATTGAACTTTGATTTATCGAGAAATGTTACTTTATTCTAATTCTTAGGTATCAAATGCTTGTAACGCGTCTGTTCAATGAAAACAATTCTTAATATTTAATTTCTTCAATTCATCAATAGCTTTTTTCCATACGTTTTCTCCATTGAGTCCAAATTCTTGAAAATATCTTCTAACAGTTCTGACGTAAATTTCTACGTCGATTATTTTCCGAATTTTCGCTGCAATATTAATATCCATACGGAAAGGATTCTTCTCACTTATGCGATAGATTCTTCGATTTATTTTTATAGTAGCTTTTTGTGGTCGTCCTATCTTCGCGTGATTATAATAAGTTCTCTGAAATTTCTATCATGTCTGCTTACAAGCCGCTCTGGTCGGTTTGTCCAATATCTTTGAAAATGACATTTTTTCCTTTAATATTACGAATTTTCTTTTTTCCGATTTCCGCTATTTACCCATATTTTTATATTTAGTAGATACACAGTAAAAAATTCTGTACTAAATTTAACACATTTCACATGTCCAGAACGATTTACTAAAATTTCTGTGTTAATTTAGTACAAAGCGAATATATTAAAAAATAACACAAACATTATATCAAGAATAAACACAAAAAATTAACATCGACATTACGTTGAAGCAAATTCTATGTAAAATTGATATATTTATAATGTTAAATGTAACATAACAAAAATATTATTTTCGCAGTGAGAAAAATATTATATTTATTTCCTTTTTTATTGTGTTGTTTTTAAAGTGTAGTTAATGATTTTATCGTTGAAATCTTCTTAATTATATTTTGTCATTTGATTAATTCAATTGATATTATTAAGTCAATTGATATTTGTAAAATTTGCTTGCCACAGGTGGGATCGAAATTTGAGAACCCTGCCTCTTGATTCACATACCTCATCTATTCTACAAAGAATAGGCTTGTAAGCAGACATGATAGAAATTTCAGAGAACTTATTATAATCACGCGAAGATAGGACGACCACAAAAAGCTATTATAAAAATAGATCGAAGAATCTATCGCATAAGTGAGAAGAATCCTTTCCGTATGGATATTAATATTGCAGCGAAAATTCGGAAAATAATCGACGTAGAAATTCACGTCAGAACTGTTAAAAGATATCTTTAAGAATTTCAGATATTTGTAAAATTTGCTTGCCACAGGTGGAATCGAAATTTGGGAACTCTGCCTCTTGATTCACATACCTCACCTATTCTACAAAGAATAGGCGAGGTACGTGAATCAAGAGGCAGGGTTCCCAAATTTCGATCCCACCTGTGGCAAGCAAATTTTACAAATATCAATTAACTTAATAATATCAATTGAATCAATCAGATGGCATATAATTAAGAAGATTTCAACGATAAAATTATTACTGCTACTTCTACTCTGATTATAAAAAAATTGTGTGTATCGTATATATCGTAACATGGAAAACATAACATATTAACATATATAAAAATTAACATATATAATATGTTAGCAGTAAAAAAATAAATTAGCAGTAAAATTAACATATATAATATGTTAACCTATATTAAAATATAAAATGGGTAATTTTAATATTTGTATATGTTACATTATGAATTTAACACAAAATATTCGAATAATAAACAATATGTTAAATTAACACATGGATATTAATTTTTTTAGAAAATTGAAAAAAGAATCAGTTTTAAAACAAATATAAAATATTTTTTACTGTATAATAATAAATGATAAAAAATATTATAGCGCTGTCTTTATTTGTACTTTCGTCTTGTTCGAAATGTCTACTACCAAATTTATGAAATTTATGAAGATCAGCTATGTCAAACGTAAGAAAAACAAATACCGTTTATTTTTAAGATTATCAGATAATTCATATATATGTATATAAATATTTAAGTTACATATACGGGGCAGTTGATAATTACCGATACACTCGTTGTGTACAGGAGAAACTCATTAAATTAAACACAAGGTTCCTCTACCATTTCACAAATAACCATATAAAGTTTTGAACTTAATTAAAGAAAATTGATGAATGTGATCACACGCGATATATGGATAGATGAACTGTGATGGCGACATTTGCCGTTGTACATTTGTGTATATCAGATCAAACTGAACAAAAAGATCCTCTACCATTCTGCAAATGACATAGACTCACCGCACTTTTTGCTAATATAACAAATACGAGATAGCGCTCTCGTTATCGATTCGGATAAATAAAGGTCTAATCTTAAATTAGAGCGCGCGCGTTTTATTTTCATGCATAAATAAATATCTAACTTACGTTCGTTCTATAGGTACTTGCTCACAACACTGAAACGTTCACGATTCCACCGTCTGACACCAAAGATGGACGCTGAAACAATAAATAATATCCGTTATATTTCAAACATGATAATTTTTCTCAACCGGTTGTATTAAAACAATTGGTATTTGCTGCGATTAGCGCGAGCGCATATACACGATATCCCGGCAATGCATTTATTTTAACGATGCTTCAGATATTATATGCGCCGAACGTGCACCGCGAATTGCACGTAGAGAAATAAATGTACGTACTACTGCGTAACTTTTATGTAAATAACGAAAATCGTGTAAATATCATACATTTGGTGCATTCTAATTCCACGTGTAAATTATTCGGCATAACTACTGTAGCGAATTGACCAAATTCGTCATATCTTTTTCTCTCTTTCTCTCTCTCTCTCTCATAAAAAAAAAAAAAAAAAAAAAAAAAAA